AATCGTGTTTAATGTTATTTTTTCAGTTAACATTTAATAAAAAACTTTTCGTTTGTTTTCTCTGAATATTTTAATCGTAATTATAATTATTGATGATTTTATATAAGCCCAACACTTGGGGAGTGAGTGGGCATAATGTATAGCCTATAAAACACACACCGATTAATAGCTATTATTTATTCATTGAATTAAATTTATTGTATTGTTTACTAATTATATCAATAAATATCTGTATCTGAATATAGAGAATAGAAATGATTTATTGATTGAAAGCATTTGGAAACCCATAAAACAATTACTTATTAAAAATTGCACAAAAAATTATTAAACTGATTTAAAAAGCCTATAATAGTTGATAATAGTACTAATAGTATGAAATGACATTTGAAATGATAGGACATAATTGATTGGTACACAGCTATAAGAGCAGCCAAATTCAGACACTTGCAAATTGCTTTCCCGGAGACACCGGTCGACGATTTGCTCAAAATACTGACCAAAGACTTTGTCAAAGAGGGCTTCCTATGGAAAACTGGGCCCCGAGTGAGCGATTCATACAAAAAGCGATGGTTTGTTTTGGACGACAGGAAACTCATGTATTTGGATCAGCCTCTGGTGATCAAAACATACGGCCATTTTGTGGACATAATTGTTTTGCTAACAATTTGCATGAATAGGAGGCGTACCCGAAGGGCGAGATATTTTTGGGCGACTCTAACGAGGGATTTATTGTCAAATCGGGAGTTCCGCCGGGAATGAAGGAACTCGAGAGCGGATACTCTTTTACATTAGTCACACCGGGTTTGTCACTGTATTTGTTGAAACAATAATTTTACCAATATGCTAATTTAAGCAAATGTATCCAAACTAATCGATGGGTCAATTTAATGAAATGCTATTTATTTGAAATGTATGGCCGCTTCTAGAGAGGACGTGGCTCTTCGCGGCCTCGAGTACTGATGATCGGCAGTCGTGGATGAAAGCACTGGAATCGGTGATCAATCAGACGTCTTCGGCGCCCAATGACGCCATGCAAGAGACGGTTCGCAACGATTTGCGCCACTCTTACGCCAGAAAAAGTCGAGGTTTTTGCCAACACTTGAGATATTTTGGAAATTTTTTATTAATGTTAATTTTGAAACTTTTTTTCACTCCGGAATATAGACTCAAAAATCCTGAACCAAATGAGAAAATTAACGGGAAATATTCTTAACAAACAATAAAACAGTAAAACAATAAAATTGAAATAAGAAGAAGAAATTTCACCCAATTATCGATCTTTCATCGGAGAAAAGCTCACGATTTTCTCTACAAATCATTGAATACTTATTAAATATATTGAACACGAATTTCATGCAAAACGACTTTTCGCGCAAAACATATAATTGAATGCAATGTATAACAGAAATTGTGTGAAAATTTGTGCCCAAAAACTGAATA